TCCCCAGTACTACTTTGTACTACAAAGCTTGCACAAAGCACTTCCCAGTACTACTTTGTACTACAAAGCTTGCGCAAAGTAATTCCCAGTACAACCTTGTACTGCAAAACTTGCACAAAGTACTTCCCAGTACTACTTTGTACTACAAAGCTTGCACAAAACACTTCCGAGTACTACTTTGTACTACAAAGCTTGCGCAAAGTACTCCCCAGTACTACTTTGTACTACAAAGCTTGCACAAAGTACTTCCCAGTACTACCTTGTACTACAAAGCTTGCACAAAACACTTCCCAGTATATACTACTTTGTACTACAAAGCTTGCGCACAAGCAAGCTTTACACAAAGAAGTTTTTACACAGAGAAACTTCCTGGTACATAATGGCAACAGAAATTGCAGCTCCAAAACCGGATCCCGACGCCAAAGCGAAAAAAACAGATTTTAAACCATTCTTCAAGGAATTTTAGAAGGAAAATCACAAACGCCAAACTTGAGAAAATCTGCTGACAAATCACTATCGGAGCCTTGATGCAGCCACTCCATTACGATTTCCAATGTCCAGCTGCAAAAGACAATAGTATTACGCATGCAGCCGCGGCACCAAGCAACCATTGACGCAGCCATTACTACTAGTGGCAACGCCAGATGACAACAATCATACAGCCATTCCAATGCGATCTGCAACCGCAGCTTTCAAAACACCCTTTGACTACGCACACACGAGCAACCACTCATTGCAGAACACTGAGGGGGAACCGATTCGACGATGAAACGAGCGCAGCCGCACCCGCCGCACACACGAGGTACCTTTCATCGCCGGCCGGAGCCACTTTACACGGAAAAACGCACGGTTTCGTGCTCCGGCTTCCTCCCCAACAGCAGCCCCATGCAACATTCATGCAGCCATTACAATGCGTTTTGAAGCAGCACGTGACAAACCTGCATGTATCTACGCGCATGGCAACGCCAGATGACAACAATCATACAGCCATTCCAATGCGATCTGCAACCACAGCTTTCAAAACACCCTATGACTACGCACACACGAGCAACCACTCATTGCAGAACACTGAGGGGGAACCGATTCGACGATGAAACGAGCGCAGCCGCACCCGCCGCACACACGAGGTACCTTTCATCGCCGGCCGGAGCCACTTTACACGGAAAAACGCACGGTTTCGTGCTCCGGCTTCCTCCCGAACACCAGCCCCATGCAACATTCATGCAGCCATTACAATGCGTTTTGCAGCATCACGTGGCAAACACGAATCTCTCTACGCACATGGCATCAAAACATGACAAGAATCTCGCACCACCCTAAATGAATGTATTGTTATGTGATGTAAAGTTTCACACCGCTCTTCATGAATGTATCGTTATTTGATGCAAAGTTTCACACCGCCCTTCATGAATGTATTGTTATGTGATGTAAAGTCTCACACCGCCTTCATGAATGTATTGTTATGTGATGTAAAGTCTCACACCGCCCTTCATGAATGTATTGTTATGTGATGTAAAGTCTCACGCCGCCCTGCATGAATGTATTGTTACAGTATGTGATGTAAAGTCTCACACCACCCTTCATGCATGTAAAATTTCATTCACACCACCCGTCATTGAGTAAAATTCATCTGTAACTCGGAAGATTGCTTCCCAACTTCCTTTTATAATAGTTAACAATGATAATGACATATCATATACTGTAATATAAACTTGTATATCATTATTTAATTATATAAACGATGCGCAGCAACCAATGCTTTCCCGACGGATGTGATCTAACCGTTTTTGATTTGGGAAAATCACACGATGGTGTCCCAGGGGCCGTGCTGAATGATGGCCATTGTCATGACTTCTTTGCAACATCGCTCTTTTTTAATAAGGGTTCACGATAAATTCTGAAACATCTGTGAGTGTACATATATCAAGGACAAATCCGTTGTATATATCTGTTTGAATATACATACATAAACATACACAGGCACATGTGCCCTCGGTGTATACATATATATATACACGCATGTACACATACTGTATGTATGTATGTATATATATATATATGTATATATATATATATATGTATATATATGTATATATATATATATATGTATATATATATGTATATGCAGGCGGAACTCCTTGATCTTCGACATCAAAATCAAAAAATCACAGAGAACAAGGTGTGGCATTAACCCAACATTTGCAGCCAACATGGTGCCATTTCATGTTCAAGAACCAATATCATCCAACATCCGAATCCAAACCAGCTGCTTTGGCTGAAACATGTTGGGCCATACCCAAATGGATGCGAGTCAAATTGGGTACCAAAATCTTATTTGGCTGATTCATCTGAGACATACCATTTTGATGTGATTTTCTGCCTACAGTGGAACAACCTTGGTACAGTTTGAGGCTACACAAGGAGAAACCATCGCAGCTTTGGAGGCTTGTTCATCACGCTGCAGATGGAGGATGTGCTAGTTGCTAGTTGGAATGGTCAGCATGGAGCACAGTTTTTGGCATATAATTCTCTCCACCACCAGTTCCATTCCCCATAGATTCAGGTGGGAAGTGTTATGAAGTGTTGTCCTTGGCAGAAGAAAATGGTTCCAGCAAAATTCATAGCAAAACTGTGGGTTTTTGCTGGCGTCACTGCCAGCCTGGCTCAAAAAAGCAGTCGCCAGGCAAAATTCCAGGAAGAAAGGAGAGCACAGGAGTGGGACTTCGTTTGGGATGATTTTCAAGGCATGATCTACCTGCATATATCTCTATCATTATATATATATACACACTGTATATAGATACATATACAGCGTGTGTATATAGATATATACTATGTATATATTTTATTTTTTTTACAACATATATAATGTGTATATTGTATGTCTATGTGTATATATATATACATGTATTATTCAAATATATATGTGTTATGTCGTACATATTTGTGTATTATTTGCAGGTATCTACAATACATACATATATGATCACATATGCCCGTTTCAAGCACAACCATACGTATCGGTCCACAGGGATCACCTTTACATCGATCCACCGTGGCAGGAGCTTTCTCTGGGACAGCTGGAGCAGAGAAGGTTGTGGTGGTGACACTGGTGGATGAACAAAGAGGGATTTCCCAAATAACCAATTGATAGTATATAAACTTTATCAAATACCATGACTCAAATAACCAATTGATAGTATATAAACTTTATCAAATACCATGACGCAAATAACCAATTGATAGTATATAAACTTTATCAAATACCATGACTCAAATAACCAATTGATAGTATATAAACTTTATCAAATACCATGACTCAAATAACCAATTGATAGTATATAAACTTTATCAAATACCATGACCCAAATAACCAATTGATAGTATATAAACTTTATCAAATACCATGACTCAAATAACCAATTGATAGTATATAAACTTTATCAAATGCCATGACTCAAATAACCAATTGATAGTATATAAACTTTATCAAATACCATGACTCAAATAACCAATTGATAGTATATAAACTTTACCAAATACCATGACTCAAATAACCAATTGATAGTATATAAACTTTACCAAATACCATGACTCAAATAACCAATTGATAGTATATAAACTTTATCAAATACCATGACTCAAATAACCAATTGATAGTATATAAACTTTATCAAATACCATGACCCAAATAACCAATTGATAGTATATAAACTTTATCAAATACCATGGCTCAAATAACCAATTGATAGTATATAAACTTTATCAAATACCATGACCCAAATAACCAATTGATAGTATATAAACTTTATCAATACCATGACTCAAATAACCAATTGATAGTATATAAACTTTATCAAATACCATGACTCAAATAACCAATTGATAGTATATAAACTTTATCAAATACCATGATTCAAATAACCAATTGATAGTATATAAACTTTATCAAATACCATGACTCAAATAACCAATTGATAGTATATAAACTTTATCAAATACCATGACTCAAATAACCAATTGATAGTATATAAACTTTATCAAATGCCATGACTCAAATAACCAACTGATAGTATATAAACTTTATCAAATACCATGACTCAAATAACCACTTGATAGTATATGAACTTTATTAAATACCATGACTCAAATAACCAATTGATAGTATATAAACTTTATCAAATACCATGACTCAAATAACCAATTGATAGTGTATAAACTTTATCAAATACCATGACTCAAAAAACCAATTGATAGTATATAAACTTTATCAAATACCATGACTCAAATAACCAATTGATAGTATATAAACTTTATCAAATACCATGACTCAAATAACCAATTGATAGTATATAAACTTTATCAAATACCATGACTCAAATAACCACTTGATAGTATATAAACTTTATCAAATACCATGACGCAAATAACCAATTGATAGTATATAAACTTTATCAAATACCATGACTCAAATAACCAATTGATAGTATATAAACTTTATCAAATACCATGACTCAAATAACCAATTGATAGTATATAAACTTTATCAAATACCATGAATATATGGATACCACTGGATTTCTCAAAATGGACTCCATTTGATCCGGGTTCAACTTGAATAGTTCGCCTGTCGACGCGTCCTCAGCTCAAGCTCTGACATCGACCCGGGTCAATTTTACTAGTGTGTGGTCTTTCCTGCGGCTGATGTTTTCCAGCTGCAATCAACCCATTGGTTCTTTGTTGGTTCAAACATGTTCAAAAGATATGTTCTTCAAATTTTTGTTCTCAATGATGTCTTTGACTTCTTCCTGCCCCAGGAAACTAGTCCAAAGAAACGCAGCTGACAGCCTGCAGCGTACCAGAAGTAGCTATATGAATGTTTCAACTGGTTGAAATGCTTTGATATGTGGACTGAATCGCGCCTGGATTCAGTCAAACCTGAAAACCTCCAAACAAATCAACAAAATAAGCAGCAAAAACAGCAGGCGGAACACACCACCTGGGACGTTGCGCAGGATGCGCCATGGGCCTTCGACCTGCCCACCCCTTTCTCCGGCGCGTGCCACACTCCAGGGGGCTGCGGCGCTTGCGGCGCCTGACGCGGCGAGATCCGGTGCAGCTGCTGAAGCAGTTGCCGGAGCAGGACATGCAGCTTCTCCACAGATGGATAGCCTATGGATAGCCTAAAACATGGCGAAACATGGCGAACTACCCTCTGGTTATTTAACATAGCCATGGAAGATCACCATTTTTAATAGGTAAACCATCTATAAATGGTGATTTTCCATGGCTATGTTAGTCATAACCAGCTGGTAAATAGAGGTTTACAGCTGGGACATGGATCATTACCTCTAGGGCACCATTTTTGGGGCACTTAGATCCAGTGGATTTCCAAGTCTCGCTGGGGGTTCACTGATCACCCCAAAGTGTACATGGGTGTGACTGAACGCGTTTTTCTTTTAATCCCAAAAACAATAATTTAATTGAGAAAATGAAATAAACCACTATAAACCACTATAAACTATTGAATTTTGAGGGATACCCTAATTTCAGACAAAACTGACAAAACCATATTAGTGACCGTTCCAACATCTTCCAACTGACCATGGCATCTGCGGATGCGACGCAGGAGCAGCGTGCTCGGCTCCTGGAACTGCTACGCGCAGACCTTCAGAGCAATGAGGATCAGACGACCCTTTTGGGGGTTGCTGTATGGTACGTACCAGCCAAATATTCGGAGGGTTGCTGTTAATGTAAGTTACTGTAGTTGCTATCCATGGCCTTGGCTGAGGGATTTAATATGAATTCATGCGATTTGCTGCTGCTAATGTTACTGTCATTTTGTCGCTTCAGAGACTGTTGATATATCCTGTTTGGACCTGTCCACGATTCAGGTTGGAATATGTTGGAATACCAGTTGGGTTGCTTACTTCAAATCATTGGCAATAGCTGCTGCATGCTGCTATTCGTATGGGTGGAATAAACGTGAGTACTAAAACTTGAAGAGCTGGCTCCCTTTGCAAGCCACTTCTGTCATTTCACTTTTCAGCCACCCTCAGTCTCCTCCCATGGCAGAGTTTTGTCTCAGAGTTTTCTGTTTGGGGTTGCCAGACAGAAATTTTATCGAGGTTTGCTGGGATAGACAACGTAAATCATCATGTTCCGACGTGATTTAGCAGTGTTGTGATGATGCCGTTTTGCCATATATAATTACAATGAAAAATCATTAATATTAAACAATTCAAATGCTGGATGGATATCAATGAATAACAATGGCAAGCATTGACCGCTTCGGCCGCCAGGAGATTGCGGATGAGACTTGGCAGATGCCAAGCTTGACGGCTGATGGCCGCACGGCGGATTTGCCTGGATTCAACTTCCAGACTCGCGTTTGCGACCTTCAGATTCTACAAGGATTCCATGGCTGCAGCAAGATAGGCGAGTCGAGGTGGTTCACAGATTCAGCAGATAGTTTGCTCATGTTTGCTCCCCAGATTGAATGAACACATGAAACAAGCAACTGGGTTTTCAATTTTCCACCAAATCATGTCATCCATTTTCATTTGGTTGGTGGTTTGTTTGGAACATTTGGATGATTTTTCCATCATCTAATTCATCTTCAATGGGATTTCCCATTAAGTCCATGATTTTTCAAGGTTTTCTGCACCACCAACCAGTCATTTCTCAGTCATCCCAGGAGTTTCTGGGGAAGCCATGGAGAATTTGACCAAGACCTGTCGTTTGCTTTTCCCTTTGGATGGCTCCTCCTGGATGCCCTGCACTGCAGATCCGCGGTGCCTGGCAGAGAGGCCTTTTTCAGATCGGCAGATTTCTTTAAGGTGAACTGGGCAGATACCCAATTATGTGTCAGAAAAATAAAACATACTGCTATGTCCCATTTATGTATATATATATATCATATATATATATATCATATATATATATATATATCATATATATATATATGTATCATATATATATATATATACATAAGGTGCTATAAACATTAGTTACATCTAGTTACTAGCTTGCTACATCCGATTAAACAAAAACCTAAGTGCAGGGATCATCCCAGCATGTCTATGAAGCGTACGTTGAACATAGGGAGACTGGTGGCGTTGGTCATTTTAACCGGACCAGGTTGGCGCAAGAGGTCTTCGAGTTCCACGCCAAAGGTTTTGCGTTTGATCCAAAGCGATCTGGAGCTGAGTGGTGGGTACAGATTCGAGATACTTGGATTGAGATGTGGAATCCTTCTGGCACTCACACACGGCAACATATATTGTTCTGGCCTGTAGCTTGTCTTAACTGGACTTTTTTTAATTTAGTGTAAGAACATGTGGGAACAATGAACAGTGGTGGAAGGCATTCTACACTAGTCTTAGCTTGATTTGGGAGTCTCTGAATTCTAGATCATCCTCCGATTTTTTTCAGTGCAGCCTGAGGATAGCGGACATAGTGAAGAAGGTATTCAATTCCACTGGGATACAGATGAGGTTGCGGTTGAGCGCCATGGTGTGAATGTGCATCCACACCTCAGCACCTGGCTACAAATTGCGCTTGAATTTGGAGTGGGCATGACAGTTCTACCTGATGGATCCTGATGGGAAAACTGCAGACAAAGCAGGGATTCATGGTCATATCTTGATGGGTTTTTAAGTGCAAGACAGAAGCGGCAAGCCCATGCAAGACCCTGGATTCTTTCCCGTGCTGGTTTGCCTTCAAAAAATTGAAAACTTACGGGGGAGAAGTTGGAGACGCTATACAAAAACCCTGGACCGATGTATATCTCATGTTCTGTTGACTGCAGACACAGGGCCTTAATCACTCAAGATCCTCAGAAAACATCTCCGTTTCTTGTTGGTTCTATTGACCCATCCTCAGATCAAGTTGCTTTTTTTTTAAAAAATGGTAGTCAGACCCACTGTCGATGTCAGAGAAAGGTGTTGAGTAGGTTTCCATCCATTTCCAACCCTCCAGGTACCGTAACCTACCTCACGGAGTGCGGAGCTCCAACCCTGATTCTGCAGTGTCGCAACTCGTTACGACCCAGTGAGACGGCTCAAGTCTATGGGTCGCTTGCAGGTGTGGATGGTGTGGAAGGGACAAGCACACACCAAGTGGTGGATATTCACCATATGGATGAGTGTGCAAATTGGGAAATCGAGTGGCTGTTTAATGGGAAAATAATGATACACAATAACAATAACCACTGGTTTCCTTTTGGAGTTCTTTATTTTCAGACAGATCCATGAGAAGGGATATCAACGTGGCTATTATATGCTATTCTATTATGTATATTTTTTGGTTGTATATTCAGTATATTCTAGTCTTTCCAGGAAACATGGATACATTCGCCAACAATAACAAGAAGGAAAGGGGAGGAAGAAGAATTTTTCGAACAGCATAGAACAGCTTTTTGAGCATAGCAAGAAGACGAAGAATAAAAGAAAAAACAACAATTTCGAAGAGGACGAAGAAGAGGATCCCAGCCACAGTCGGACATGTTCATGAAATCTGGGGAATAGGTAACAGCGTTTCCAAACATAAAGTGGGCCCCAAACAGTTTGCAAACGAGTAGGAGAACACGCGTGCTTGGCTTTTAAATGCTTTGTATCAGCACGAAACCCAACGGTTGGCGCCTTGTGCCGAAGGATGGCGCGCATCCTTTTTTTGGCTTCTTTTGAACGTCTTACAACCCCAGGTAACATCTAGTGATGTGTCCCTCAAACATGTGAATCCGCTACCCACGCATGCAATCTGTCGAGTGCATAATCACGCTCAATCAAGTGCATATAAAATTATATAAGTTCTATAACGTGCTATAGTACTACTATAGAGTCCATACAAAAATCGTTCAATGCCATATTTCATGCCTTAGTCATTTATATCTCCTATGCCATTACACTCCATCCTTTTTAGGCACCCCTTCATTTTTTTCAGTTCCTGCCAGGTGGAACCCTCAGCTGGCCGAAGCTTTGGAAACACCTGGCCTTCGACGGTCAGTTGCTTCACGGCACTGTGCCGAAGGCCGGAGACCCGGCGGGTACGACCCGGCGGACGTTCCTGGTGAACGTTTGGCTGAACCATCGGCCCAGCAACTGTCAACGTCTCTCAAAGGCGGGAAAGGTGAAAGGAAGGATAGCCTGGATAGCCTTGAAAATAGCCAAAAATGTGGTGCTTTAATGTGTTTTATCCTCATGTTCCATAATTTTTCCACATTAATTCTCATCAAATCACATTTTTTTGGGGTGGCATACCTCAGTTTCACCCAAGTTCTGCAGAGGCTTTGGCCAAGCGCCTGGGTGATCTGCCACATCGCTTCACCTTCTCGGCCTTTCAAGCCATGCCGCGCTGGAGCCCCGTTTCATGCCATGCCGGACGCTTCCGAACTCGCTTTGGTCGACGGAGGTCCGGCCGTTGAGGACGCAGTGTGTATGGCGATTTAGCAAAAAAAACATGAACATACACATTTATCATAATAATATAATTATATATATATATGTATAATATATATATAATATTGTAAGAATGATGTTTTTGTTTTTAAACTGTTTTTTTTTATGTTTCTGGATGGTTGGTGAAAGGTCCATGGTCCCTGGTTTTTTGGCACCCCAAATTGCCCCAAATCCCACGGTTCCAGCAGCGGCCCGGTTCCAGGTTGCTGCATGAGATTTCCTGTCGATTGCCTCATAGGTCTGGCGACACCACAGCTGGCACCTTACAACTCCACTGGGCATCCAAGGATGCAATGCTGGGACCGGTGGAAAAAGGAAGAAAAAGGGAGATGGTTTCAGCTGGAGGCGGAGAAAAAAAAGGTTGCCTGAAAGGGGAAATCCATTGAGTGGAGTTCCCGTGTTGACTTTGCCAGGTCTCAATTGGAAGATGATGTGATCAAACTACGACAGGATACCTGCGATTGCACATGACACCTTGGAAACAGGAAAAGCATAGACTCAATTTGAGCATGTCAAATCGTGGTCTGCAGATGGGCTTTGTGATTTTGAATGATTTTGATATATGTTCTGATATGTTCTGATGCTATTAGTTGCCCCCCCTGGCAAACACTGGTTTGAATGGTTTGAAGATGTTTGAAGATGTTTGATACCCTCTGGTAATCAAACGTGGCAATGGACAAATCCATGGATGATTTTCCCATTGCCACGTTTGATTCCCAAGGTGTAATCATTTCTGTCTACTCTTTTCACTCGATTCACTCCCACCAGCTTTGCCGGCCTTTCTCCAGGAGAAAGGAGAGGCAGATGGCCACATCCAAAGTCTGGAACGAAAGGCGAAGCTGCATGACGAACATTGGTAGATCAAGGGTTGTTTAATCTCTTGAGACAGGGAGCCATCCACATACTGCTTCAGGGCATATGTAAATAAGAATGATATAGAGTCCCCTTGGCAGTTTCCCTTACAATATCAGGTATCTAGGCTCCCCAACACCAGGGTGATTTTGCAAGGAATGCTCCTTACAAATCATACCTTAGCATCCAGTATTATGGGCCTAAAATCTTCATGGAAGTTTTTGGCCAAAAACTTTGAAGATGGTTGGTCTTGATTTTGTATAGGGCCAGACCTCTTGGGGGGGCAAACGGGTCCCAAATTTAGAAAAGGTAGAGGAAATTTGGAGCCATTTGTAGATGAATGGGGGGTCGATTTTGTAAGGATTGATATGTTTCCCATAGTAGGGTTTGATTTTGTATGGTTATTGTATTTTATTGTAATATGGTTTACATAGAACTATGATTGTCCTTAAAAGGAATCCCAAAGTACTCTTCTTTTTCTGTCAGACTGAAGTGCTTACTGAATCTTACTGATACATCAGGGTATATCAGGGGTATACGGGACCACTGAGAGGTCCGTCTGTTTTGTGCGATGACAGACATGTTTTTAGGTCAACGAACTCGAGGGAGAAATTCTCCGTCTTCAAACGACTTCAGAGGCGGCTTGTGGATGCCATGTTGCTGAAGAGTAATCCGGATCCCCAATATCAAACACCCTCCCAGACCCCAGTGGCCACTGCTCGTGTAGTCTAACATCTAGCAATTTAAAAAACGATGACCCACCGATGTAGATATAGTGCATAGGAGATTGAATAGAAAGAACGACCCATGACTGTGGATGATTTTTACACAACATATCCGTTACCTCTATCCATTACCTCATGGTTTACACAACATATTCTCCGTTTTCTCCATGGTTTTTTCGTCAAAGACCCGGAAGCTGAGGCCTCTGCCGCGGGTAAAATGGCGGCAGAAGCCAAGCATGAGAAGGTGCCATTGATTGTCCATGGGGTATATATGCATGGATGTTTGAACATATGAGATACGGTCAAAATAAGCGTAGATTACTTTAGTAAGGGAGGGTCCAATCGTGTTGAGAAAATGCACCAAACCATGTAAAGCGATAGGGCCCCTCCCAAAAAGCGATAACCTGTAACCATTTGTGGGCAAAATTGATGAAAATTCAACCTGCAGTGCCCGCGTTTCTTGCAGTTGCCATTTCATTTGCTGTCCAAGGTGATTGAGCCATTGCTTTCTGCAGGCAGATTGTTTTTTTCTTCCCAGGTCCCAAAGCAGTAGAATTAAACCAAATTGAACGCAACCAAATTCTGAATTAAGCAAACAATAGATTGAAATCCAATTCTGAATGCCCTTTGTGTGTTTAGATTTAATTCGAATTGCGTCTTCCTTTGTTTCCTTTTCTTTTTCTTTTTTTCTTGTTCCTTCTTTTTTCAGTTAAAAAGAACGCAATTGAATTCTGAACCAAATCAACTCTGATTACGAATCTTGTTCTGAATTCCATCTATTCCATGTTTGATTTGTCGTTTCTTCTTCCTGTGTTTCCTTTTCTTGTTCCTTCCTTTCTCCTTCTGTTTTTTCAGTTGTCCTTTTTGTTCTACGTTCCTCTTTCCTTTCCTTTCTTGATCGTCAAAGTGTTCCAATTTAGCGATAACCTTAGCGATAACCTAGCGATAACCTTTTGTTGAAAAAGGGACCCCGGAGGAGGGATAGACTCATTTGATCCCAAGAAGAAGAAGGGCTCAACAAAAAAGTGAACAGGTTCTCGACACCAGGCCACCACGTTGTATTCAGACTTGGGGAGCCTAATGCACTTCTTCATAGCTACGAACGCTTCTTTTTTGGAACCATTGGTCTATATCAAATACGGTCTTTCTAGTTCGGAGATGAGATCGTAACAGATTTCCTTGCTTAGGAAAGAGTCTAGGAATGTGCTTAGATAGCTCCCCAACATGGTTGCAAACGCAAAGACAACGAAAGGCCCTTAATCCATCCCCGGCAGTTTAGATCTGAATCCGTGAAGCTAATTCCCTTGCATTTTTGCAGTATTTCGTGTTGATTTGAACAAAAAACTGGAAAGCGATAGGGCCCCCCCCAAAGAGCGATAACTTATATTTTTGTACCAGGCATAAACAATTGATTTTGACGGCGGCTCATATATATATAATTATATATTTATATATGGATGGATATTTATAGGATAGGATATAAATTATACTTGAAATGTGATATTTTTGGGATTCCATTCATCTACTGGGATTATCTTAAGCAATGCCGGGATATTTGTTTAAAAGTATAATCCCAGTCAACTCAATCCCAAGTATAACACAAGTGACATATATCCAACAATTAGCAGATACTTTATGGGATATTTTTATGGCTTATGACGATTGTGATCATTATTGTTTGACAAGATATCTCATGGGATATTTTATGGGGCATATATTCAAAATTAGGAATCTGTCTGAACATGGGGTATGAAGCCCCAATGATGGGTGTGTCTCAAAATGGGGCATACTCCCGAAATGCCCATGTTGCTGGGGAATGTGATGACCATGAGATACCATGAGATCTTGGGATACTCTATGTTCAGACACACCCATTCGCCTGTTCATCATGTTGATCGGTTGGTTCTCAACCTTCAATTTCGGAAATCTAATGCACCATATCTATCCACAACTAAACCTCTGGACTTGGTTGAAACTTAGCTTGGAGACGCGCTTGGCACAGGCACAGAGAGACTTGCTGGGGATGGAGACCCAGTTGCAACAACTCAAATTGGAGGCCATGTTGATGTGTGCTGATTAGTTCTTTTTTTTGCCGTGTGCTGATGTTTTTCGCAGCATCATTGATAACATCATCATGATAGTCCCAAGTCATGGGTTTTTTGGTCGTGCCCCAGGCAAGAGTTCATGTGACTTTAGCAGAGGAGCAGCAGGCACCGGAAATGGCTTGTGTCAAAACCTCGGTACCCTGTAGTTCACATCAAAATCGCATTGGATTTATGGATGTTCACTCCCTATTTTTGTTGTATAGTAGGTTTTGAATGGTTTTGATCCATTGCCAAATCTAGTATTGTTGATTACATATCCCATGAAATCCCATTAAATCCCATTAACTTCAATTAAATCATCATTAAAACAAAATTAAATCATAATTATAAATCATCATTAAAACACAATTAAATCCCATTGCAATGCATTCAACTTCCATTAAATCTAATCATAGCTGGGTCTGGTTGGAATGAACCCCACCAGCTCATGCCCTTCCGGCCCTTGAGGTGGTCATATCTGAACAGCGAGAAGAGATGCTGAAGCTCAGCTCGTGGGGGGCACAAATCTGGGGAAACATGGGGAAAACCATGGGGAAATTATGGTAAAAATAGGGAAACACCCATAAAAAACCGAACTGGAAACCATTGGAAAGCCCCCCCAAATCCCAGTTCCCATGGCAATTGGTTTATGTTCGCCTCCAAGGCCACTGAGGTATCCTCCATCGACAAACCATGTGTAGGTCCGTTGGTACTCCCTATGTTTACCCATCCATGGGTTTCTGAAAAAAATTGGATATTCCACGTTCAAATGGCATACCGATTTTTCACTAATATATATTAATGATATAATATATATATATAAATACACACAACAATTAAAGTTTTGACCGACTTTGGGGATATCCAACTTTTGACCCAAAACCATTTCTTTGCTGATTTTTGATGTGTCTCCTTTGCTTCATCTCCCGCGAGGCAACTGGCAAGGCTACCCGAAGTGGTCCCAAAGGCCGGAACAGCGAACCGGGGGGTGTGGCCAGCTTCGGGCGGGTCGCAGCGGGTCGAGGATCCACAAGAAGAAGAGAAGAACAGACAGCTGCGTCCACCTCAGGGATGGCCATGGGGTACAGTGGAACCGTTAGATAAGAACCGATTAAGATTTTTCCAGCCTACCCTGGGGTTCTTAAGTGCGATAGGTAAAAAATATGGGAATTATCAACGAGGGTACCCTCAAGTTCTTAATGGGTTAGTTCTTAAGGGGGTCATATTTGAAAATTCTTAGTAATTTCTCAATAAAGCACTCGGTATAAACAGTACCTCCAGCCTTGCAAGCAGCAAAGACGCGAAGAAGAGGAGAAAGGAGAAGAAGAAGGCAGGGAGGGTTGGGCCTGCTGTGGTATTAGCGACCACATAGGTTGAAAGAAACTTTTTTGAGTTTTCCATCGTGGACTGTTCTTGGAAGATCCTTTGGGAGAAGCTGGCTCGGCTTGGGTTTGCAGCCCCCAAAGTTTGTTTTGGAAGGTTTTGCAGTAGGTTTAGAAAAACTTGTTGGGCCCCAAAAGTTGTTCCACTACTAACTGTTCCATGGAGATCCTTGGAAGAAGCTGGCTTGCGTTTGCAGCGCCCAAAGTTTGTTTCAAGGGTTTTGCGGGCACCACCATGCACGTAGGTTTGGAACAAACTTTTTGGGACCCCAGAAGTTTTTCCACAAAATTCAATAGGCGTCCCTCCAACCAGGTTTAAAAAAAACACAAACTTCCCGTCTTG